GTTCACCTTTTCATCGTAGCTGTCTGACATGCACACAATCACCTCTGCTCCACTGTTAACCTCTCCCACTTAGTGGCTATCTTGGCTGATGACCCCTCTGGAGACAGAGACTTCAAGATCAAATTAGAAAGAAACTGTAACAATACAAATCATAACAAAGTGTTTCACACAATGCAAATCTACTGATAATAAATTCTTTTTGCTTATTTTATCTGAAAAATGCTTTATTTTTCCTTCATTCTGATGGATATTTTTGTTTAATATAGAATTGCATTGACCATTCCTTTCTGTAAGCACCTTGAGGATGTTGTTCTTTTTTTCTGGCCTCCATTAGTTCCAAAAAGAGATCAGCTGCCATTTGAATCATTGTGGCTTTTAAAGTAATATAACAATCTTTCTGTTTTAAAGATGTTCTCTTTATCTTCAGTGTTCAGAAGTTGGATTATAATGTACTTAGGAGATTTTCTTCAAATTTATCCTGCCTGGGTGTCGGGGTCAGGGGAAGTGGACGTCGCTGGAGACCTCTGCAGTAGGTCCCAGCCTCCTGTGGGTCACCACAGCACCGGCAAAGGTTAAAGAATAGACAAAACAAGACTCACGATGAAGCTGAGTCTTGGGTCCTGATTAGTGCTGCTGATGGCAGTAAAAGACAAAGGCCCCAAGCACGTCAAGTATTTATTAAATACAATCATGAGAAGGAATAGAGAGCTAGGGGGATTTGAAGTCATCTAGTGAATTACTGCCAAACACCTGGCATGATGGCTCCAGGCAGGGCTGTCAGGGAACAGGCACTGTTTATCTGGCTAGGATAGAAGATAGAAGAAACTGGTACTGGGACCAGGTGCAATAAGCAAGGTCAGTGAGAAGCGATAATTCAGGGGAAAGGATGTTAATTGGGGTCACGCTGACCTCAGCTGCACGTACCTTAGCACGGCTCTGCCACTTCACAGACCAGGACTTAGGCCTCTGTAACAGCCATTAGCAAAGGAGCAATACTATCCCAACTCTGCTAGCTGACATGCCCATTTGAGTCACAGAGGGTTTTGGTCTGACTCCTGATATAAAACAGTATAGCTGAACTATGGAAGGCAAGAAGCATGTGCCACTCATAGCCTGCTAGTACTGGCCAGGGATATCTCCTACACCTGGGGTTCTATGAAATTCTTGAACCTATAAATTTAAGTCCTTCTTCAAGGTGAAGATGTTTGGTCATGTTTTTTTAAAAAAATTTTTCTCTCTATTTTCCTTCTGTAACTTTAATTGTGTGTTAGACTTTTTAGTATTGTCCCTATGGGTTTATACATTTAAATTTTTTTTCAATTACATCAGTTAATCTTTAAGATCACTAAGTGTCCTCTATCATTTTCATTATACTATTAAGTCCACCCAGTGATTTAAAAAACCTGTCATTTTAAACAACTAGTTTCTATTTCTGTGCTGATGTTTTCTTTTTTCATGCATTACAAATTTTTTTATGATTTTTTTTTTACGTTACTGAGAAAATTTAAAATCTTCTAATTCTAACATCTGAGTCTTTTGGGATTCCATCTCCATTGAATGTTCTTTTCCTGGAAAATGGATCACATTTTTCTGTCTCTTCATAAGCTTAGTAATTTGAAATTGAATAATGGATGTTATAAATATGCTATGAGCACTGGATTTAGTTACATTCCTCTGATGAGTATTTTTTTACATTGTTGTTTTAACAGGCAATTCACTTGGGAGAACTCAAATTGCAAATACTTTTCCTTGGGAAGCAACTCCAATCTCAGTTCAGTTTTCTCACCATTAGCTGGGAAGCTTGGAATCTTCCCTGTATGTGCATGTCTGGAGACAGCCAGAGCTTTGGCTAGACTAGACACAGCATTTCCAAGCTTTCCCTCTTACTTTCTAGTGATTATTCTTCACACCTACAAGTCATAAAATGAAAAATTTGCAATAGCAATTTTAGGTATTTTTCACAGCACAGACTACTTTTTTTCTCAGGTTCAAAACATTACAAACAGAAAACTGATGTAGTGCTACTCTCTTCTTTCAGATGCTCTCACCTACATCAGAGTTTATAGTTGTTATCTGTGGGAGGATTAGCCCAAAGAAGCACACTTAGTCCCACTAGAAGCAGAAACCCTTTGATAATTTGAAAGAACATATCTTATCTATTTTTTTTTTTTGGTACCGGGGATTGAACTACTTATCTATTTTTTTTAGTAGTAACTTTAAAAATTTTAACATATACTACTACAAACTGAATGTTGGTGTCCCTTCTGTCTTGGTTGTTTTTCCTCATTGCTGAGACAAAATACCCAACACCCAAAGTTAAAGGAGAAGTGGTTTATTTCAGCTCATAGTTTGTAGAGGTTTCAGTCCATAATTGGCTGGCTCTAAGGCAGGGTGGCATAGCAGAGGGGAATCACAGAGAAGAAACAGTCCATGGCAAGCAAGCAGGAGACAGCAAAGCAGCAAGCTTTTTTTTGGTCCCTTTATATTCCATCCAGGCTACTTGCCTTTTGGGTTGTGCCACCCACATCCAGGGTGGAACTCCCTTAATTCCAGCATCACATTCTTAATCTCAGCATTCCTTTTTTTTTTTTTTTT